GGTATAAAAATAGGACCAAGGCCAAGAAAGAGGATCCGTAGGTGGTGCCTTGTGTCGAAAGTCTTCCCGACGAGAGAAGGTCGGGCGGCGTGTCTTGTGAAGTTATAGCCACGGCGGTACAAGATGATTTGGCAGATCAAATGGTGTCAGCGAAGGAAATATCTGCGGTTCGAGCCTTGCGTCGAAAGCCTTCCCGACAAGAGGTCGGGCGACATGTCCCGCAAAGAATGTGCCGCGGTGCAAGATGGTTAGCAGATAAAATAAATGGATTACAGCTGGAGGGGAGGTCGGAAGTTGTGTGGTCCTTGGTTGAGGGGAGGTTTGTTGGGGATTCCTCCAAGTCCCACACCGGATGTTTAGGAGTAATTGAACCAAAATATATAGGTTCACCCAACCCCATTAGTATGGGGCCTTTTGGGAAGTGCCCAAAAACAAATCTGTGAGCTCTTGGCACAGAGCGGATCATACTAATGCGGGGTTGGGGTGAGGCCCGTGAGGGCACGCGCAGTTCCAAGAACTTGATCCACTTTGCGAGATAGAGTATTGTTTCATGGCGGAGAGTTTGAATCTCAAAGGCTAATTCTTGGATGGCCAACCAAATAGCATTTGGGGATGATAAGGCCGGTGAGGCACTGAGGTAGTTGCATTAATTGGTATGCCGGATCTGTTTGATTGCGGCATGAGGTTGCTATTGTGAATCACCCATTCGAAATTTGGAAAGTCAACAAACAAAGACACTTTGAATCGGTCAATCTATATTTTGGAATAGAAAGTTCGTGGGGGCGCAGCGGAAATCACCAATTGAAACCTATGCAAACAAATCAACCAACTATGCTGTAGAGAAGATGTTGCTGCACTGTCACAGTAACAGATGACGGACAGTGTGCTATAACACTTCTCTGTCACAAGCACACATAGAAGCAGATGATGCAGAGGGTGTTACAGCGCCTACTGGGCAGAATGCTGTAACTGTAAAAAGCGTAAAAAATAACACCAGATATGTTTACGCAGTTCGGAGCAAATTCTCCTAGTCTGCGGGGCCCATGTCCGTGTAATAACCCTCCACTAAATCACTAGATGCAAGTTACACTGGTACATAACAACATGATGAGACACCCTTCTCCGAATTGCTATGACAAAACTTCTAATCTAGGATTTCTAACCCCCGTTCAGATCCGCTTCGGCTATCACATCTCCACCGAGATCACGAAGACAAACGTGTTGGCAGCCCTCTCCTTAAGCTCTGGTTTATCTTCTCGACATCACGATCTGTTTGGCGTTAAAGATCTCCTCCTTCATGTAGATTGTGACCTTCTTCACGCACGGGAAGCTCCGGGACGCGACGGGAATGCTCTACATCAGCACATATTCGTTGTTTTCCCTCTCAATCGCTCCAAGTAATTCCCAGGGACCAGCTGCGTTTTTATAGACTCCTCTTAACACAATCCTAGTAGGAATAAGATAGTAGAAGTTGGCTTGAACTCTACTTCATTAATCTTGATCCACAAGTAGCCTAAAGAGTTGGGATTCCTTAGCATGTACAGCTGGAGTTATTATAATGTAATCACAAGCCCAATAGGTCTCTAATTCAGATTGCAGCTTAAAATCCCGTGCTCAGACTTCTGATCCCGCACACTGTGTTACAGCATCGTGCTGTAGCATCTTCTGCGTCAACCTCGAAAACTGCAGCAGCTCTAGAAGTCTAAATAAAATAAACCTCTCCTAACAAATAGAGGTTTCTACTTAGTAAAACATGTAACAAATATGTGATTCTATTTTGCCAAAAGATTAGCCAACAACATGAAACTAACAGGACTATTTGTTTTTTTCTTCAACCCCAATATGTGCAATTTGTCTTTATATCTACGAGACGCCAAACACTACAATTTGAGTTGCGGCTGAGTAGCTCCAAAGTCCAAGTAGATCCTCTTTATTGGTTTTTCCTTTTCTCTCCTGTGCTGTTTGTGAGTTCGGCATGCAGTGCTATCCACAGCGGCTAACTCAGATTGGCAGCTTTTATGCTTTTTTAGAGTGAGTTCTCTCAATCAAGCATCAATTGATACGACAACTATCGGGGAAAGATTGAGATATTGGAAGAAAAAGATGAAGGATTGAGAGAAGAACAAGATTTGAGAATAAAAGGAGATGAGGGAGAATAGAAGTGTCGAGTGACCAAAAAAGAGAGGGAGAGAGGTTAGGGTTTAGGAGTGATAATATAATTGTTCTTCATTAATATCTCAATAACCAGGTATATAAAACTAAAATATTGAACTAATACTAATAATGATACACCCCTAATCATAATAGAATTCTGGACCTATCGATTCAGTGAGAGCATCAAAGTAAAGAAGCGAAAAGAAATCTTCAAATGAGTGTTATAACTAACTCAACAATATAAAGTAAATATAAATATAATAATAATTAATATCAAATTAAGCTTTTAATTATCTAAATAACTAAATAATATTTCTTCCATCCTGAAAAACTTTTCCAGTCTTGACTTTTTGGATAGAAAGATCTAGGAATTGGACCAAGCTAAAACGAAGAGAATTGAAACAAGTTGGGCTCAGAAAATGTTAAAATGGATATAGCGTACAAGGTAGTTGGGGTATGTTTGGTTAGATTTAAAAAAAGTAGGGGCGATTGTGTATATATTTAGGCAAAATTGAAAAGTTTTATGGAATATGTAAGAGGTGAAAGTTGAAATGTTTGAAGGAAGGGAGTGAGTAAAATTTATAAATTAACCCTTCTGTATCATCCAGCAAGACTTTGGGACTTCAAACCTGCCTCAAGGATGGCCGTTTGATATCTGCCTAGTCAGATAAAATCTCCTTCGTCTTCAACATCAGTGACTCGCTCCAGGTCGGAGCTGGACCACCTCCATTCTTTAACTTAAGTCGTTCCCCTCTTTTACTGACCAGAAGCAAAAGGGTCGGGAACAAGTAGCTGTGTGTCTTTATCGCAGCTCAAAATTATCTGCTATGTGTTCGACAAGATTCCTCAGGCCCCGTTTAGTATACGGAATTCAAACTATGAAATTGGAATTGGGGACTTCAATTCCAATTCTGGTGTTTGGTAGCACAAAAATTATGTGGATTTGGAATTGATAGTGCAAAAAATGAATTGTAATTGGCAGAATTTAATTCTATGGAATTGAATCCCGTGGAATTTCAATTCCAATTCAATTCCAATTCCATCAATTTCGTATATCAAACGGACCCTCAATGAATCCTACATCGTTTTTTCAATTCTTAATGCTTCTATGAAACAACAAGGGTCTTCTAATGCCCCTAGAGGTTCTAGTTCACCCAAAGTTGCTGGGTCAATCACAAAATTTTTCCAAAAAAATTAACAACCTTTTTAAAAATGTTATTATTGATTATATTACCAATGGAGTCATGAAGAGAACTTGTAAGTATTCAAATTTTTTTTGGTTTCGACTCTACTCTTTGGATTTTCAAGGTCCACGAGCATGATGAAAATGTTTCATAATGGTACAAACAAGTGAACAACATTTTTCATAATTTGAGGAATGTGCCTCCAAGTAATACTAATGTTATCTTGTTGTTGCAATGACATTACAAGAGTGTAACTACTTGTAAGGTTTTTTGTATGCACAAGTAGTTTAAGGTCCTCAAGGAAAGATGCTTTATCTTGAGAGGATGCAAAAATTAAAAGAACATGCATCATAGATAACATAGTTGTGTAGAGAAAATGAAACATTTGTGGGATGTAAAGCTTTTTAGAAATATGACTTGAGGGATGAATTTTTAGGATACAAATTCAAATTTCAAAAGGTTATGAGAAGGAAGACTTTAGGGTCCGTTTGGTAGACGGAATTGACAAAATTGGAATTGAATTAGAAACTGGAAGTATGTAGAAGTGAGGAAGACTGTGGAAACCTATAAAATATTACTATTTCCGTCCCTGGAAACTTTTCCTCTTTTAACTTTTTTGGTCAAACAGTGGTACTCTTTGATTACAAATTCTAAGAAAAGTATATTGAGTTATAATATAAATTTAATATAATTGGGTTAATCTTAGAATATAGTTTTGATTTATCAAATTTTTGTAACATTTATTTATATAGATTATGTTTAATTTATGGTGAAAGAGTGTCACTGTTTGACAAAAAAATCAAAACAGGAAGAACTTTCAAGGACGGGGGAGTATAAAAATATGTGGAGCCCTCTTTATTCTTCTAGAACATTATAGAAGGTTTGGAGACTTTGTAAACTACTCTAGAGATGTATGAACAATTCTAAAGAAGTCCAATCGTGGTGATTACTATAATTAGGGGCATTTGGGTCTCGTTAGGTTTCCTAATTTCTAACCCAAGAAGGTTTCTTTTAGATGTATTATTTTTGTTATTGAGTGTGTGAGTCACTATATATAAGTGTTTGGTTATATGAATTGGAATAGAGGTCGATATATATACATATATACATATACATACATACATACATACATACATACATACATATATATATATATATATATATATATATATATATATATCTATATAGATATATGAATTGGAATAGAGGTCGATATATATACATCTATACATATATATATATATATCTATATATATATATAATATATATATATATATATATATATATATATATATATATACCTTTGTCAATTTAAGATCTACACCTTAGATTAGCTCTCTCTGTTTGTTTTGAATTCTTTTTAATATTCCAAAGTGAGTGGATCTTGTTGTCCTCATTGTGTTTTTCCCTGGACAACTGAAATTTTACAAGTATATATATATGGGGTCGATACTGTGAGTATGGACTTTGGTGACAGAAATGAGAATGGTGCATTTTACAAAGCAAGTAGTGCAATTTACAAAATTCCATTTATTTAAAAAATTGCAACCACGTATTTCTTGATTTTTGTTTCTTATTTTTCAATTTTTTTGGCTCTTAAGTCTCACATTTTAAAGCACCACATGCTAGTCTTTGCTATAATTATCTGTGAATGTTGTGTAGATAAACAACGCAGGAGTAAACTTTAACTTTGGTAAAGAGAATTCTGTGGAAAATGCAGAAATAGTGATCAAGACAAACTATTATGGAACCAAGAATATGATAAAAACAATGATTCCATTGATGAGGCCATCAAGTGCCGGCGGACGTATTGTTAGTGTGACCTCACGATTAGGAAGGCTTCATGGAAAACAAAATGTAAGCACGTATTTATCAAAGACTATATATAAATCTTCTCATTTTGCATGAAAAGCCAAGTTATTAATAGTTGTTACTGCATGTAATGTTTAATTAACTACAGAGCTATTTAATTTGTTTAGAGGATTGAAAATGTTGAATTGAGAGAAAAGCTGGAGGATGTGGAGTCACTAACAGAGGAGTTCATCGATGAGACGGTGGAAAAATTCCTAGAGCAAACAAAGGACGGGAGTTGGGTTTCTGGGGGGTGGCCACAAACCTTTACAGACTACTCCCTATCGAAGCTTGCTGTGAACGCATTCACGAGGTTGATGGGGCGCAACCTTTCAGAACGGGAAGAGGGTCACAAGGTATACATTAATTGTTATTGTCCCGGTTGGGTGAAGACCGCTATGACTGGTTGGGCAGGGAGTATCTCCCCTGAAGATGCAGCTGATACGGCTGTCTGGCTTGCACTCCTCCCCGACCTCAGTGTTACGGGCAAGTTCTTCGCCGAGAGGCGAGAAAGAAATTTTTAATACCCAAAACTTATCTAATTCAATCAGTTATTTCTCTATGTTATTATTGTCTCTTAGCTCCAATTTTAAACAACTAACCAATTCCCTAAGCTTTCCCATAAAACTGGGTTGGAGTGAAAATTGTGATCATCTTTCTCTCACGAATCCAACACTCAATCATATATGCATGAAGGAAGACCATCGTAGTTGACCATAAAATTAGAGCTCGCTCGATCGTTATTACTTTTTCATTGTTTGTATTTGGTAGCAATGTTGTTAGTTCGTTCGTATATACAGAGTTAAATTACGTTTGATCTTCTTGTTTGATTAAATACTACTTTCCATTTTGCTGCTCCATTATGTTATAACTAACAGTTAAAAATCTTATTATGATATCATGACATACTTCTAGTCTAATCTAGTAGCCTCCATCCGCCGCAGCTGCCAGTCTTCACTGTACTGGCCGCCGGTCTGTGCCGTTGCCGGACGCCAATCAATGTTAAAAGGAACTAAACGAATCAACAACGTCAACGAACGGTCATCAAGTTACTGGCGTTCCAACTTCCTTACGGCTCCTTGAGTTCCATTTTCTTCTTCAAAATATGTTACATGGGCTGTGGTCAGTCAGCACGCACCAAACAAATAGCGGGTAAAATGGATTGGAACTAGAATGGAGACGGAAGTTGCAAACCTTGCGTTTTCCGTCACCACTGGACCAGTTTTGGTAGAATGGCCGTATCACCTTCTTTACTCGTCCGATTGACAAACCGTTTGTGGCTGTGGTTCACTGATAATCATAATTTTTCGGGTAGTAAACCTTCCAATAAAGGGTTAGTTTTCTCTCTGAGTGTTGTGTCTCTCGAGAAGTGGACGAAGGGAATTAGTTTAATTACTCTAATTAGGCAAAGGTTAGGGTTGGTTTATGGAAGTCTTCTCGGAATGCATATAAGGGGAGCAGAATATTAATAATAATAAATAAATTTTACATAGTATAAGTGCAGGTCTGGACCTAGGGTCAGGAAATCCTTTAGATCTAATTTATCATAATTAATTAACAACATGAATAATAATATTTCTATTATTATTTACCTATTTCTAGGTTTGTACTTAATCTGTTGCTCTTGAGTATCACCGTCTTTCCACATGTAATATTTTATCAATAAATAGCTAATTAAATCTTTCGACATTAATTAACCAAGTAAGGCAAGAACAATAAACTAACCATTCCAACATTAATTTAACATTCAAAGTATACAACCAAACTTGTCCGAACCCAAAGATGAATCACGCTGTATTTATAGGACAGAATCTGAAGCGTCCAAGTAGAAGCGTCCAAGTCCAGGCGTCCAGATCTGGACGCTTGAGTTGTTCCCGTCAACTAGGTTTTGCCACATGTCATTCTTGGAGCGCAATTTATGCCAGGCATCCAAGTCAAAGCGTCCAACTTGGCCAAGCATCCAAGTTGGACGCCTCAGGCCCTTGGTCCGTTGGGCTTCGCGGCTGGTACGAGATTTTGGCCCGATTTTGGTCCTTTTTTGCCCAAATGCCAATTTTGACCTCCCAGAAGCTCGTTCAAGCCTGAATCTTGATCCTTACATATTTTATTCCCCTTTTCTCAAGCATTTGATCATAAAATGGATGATTTCATGTGGAATCCCCTTTTATGACTCTTAGAACAAAAAGTGAGAGTTTTTCTCCTTGAAAACACAATTTATGAGATCATTGAGTACGGTTTACGTGCAATAACATTTAGAATATGATGTAAATGATAAGAACGAAACAGACTTATCAAATTCCTCACGCTTAAACGTTTTTTTGCCCTCAAGCAACATATTGAATAACTACAAGTACGGAGGGAAATTAGTAATTACAGAGGAAAAGTTTAAAGTACATATTATGAGGGAAAGAATAAATAAAATAGTCATCAATTTTTTTTAAGAAGAATGAACCCCTAAATTCTCACCCATATGGTTCGAAGTTTAAAACTTTTTGTCAAACTAATATTTCCATACCAACCTAAACAATCAAAACTTTTCCAAAATTTTCTTGGGATAATTACATTTGCATGAGTAACCTCAGATCAAAACCTTTTTATAGCTTGAATTGAAAACATGTTTTAGAAAAAGTACTTGTCAAAGTGTATGAGTTTTAATAACCTTGTCATGTTGACACGAGAAAAACTTCTAACCTCATCTTGTGACATAGAACCACAAGCTTTTAGGATAACCACATTCACTCTGAAAAGTCTCATCATACGACATAGAACCGCATGCTTTTTGACTCGAACACTCAAAAGGCCTTATCATGCAATATAGAACCGTGTGCTTTTTGGCATACTCATCACCAAGCCTCATCAAGACATAGAACCAATTGCTTTTTGGCTAAAACAAGAATCTCGGTCTCACCAAAGTATGCCTTGAGATATAATCCACAAAACTTTGTAAACAATTCTTTTTCCAAAACAAGGTTTCCAAATAATGCTACTAAAAATTTATTAATCTTAAAAACTCTTACTAAAATTTAATTTTATCCCAAATAGTTATGGAAAATAAACACAAAAGGTTAGTATAAATTTTAAAAATTTGACAAAAAGGTTTTAAAATTTCTAAATTTTTACGGGTGGAAACAAAAGATTAAATAATCAAACAAGTACAATTGATGACTATTCTAGAGAAATATTTTCTTCTTAATATATAAGTAAAATAACTCCTAAAAAATCATTTCAACCATGACTTTTTACCTCCTCACACTTAAACAAAACCACGCCCTCGTGGTTAAAAGTGTTTTGGAATTGGAGTGATTGGTTGAAATGCTCACATGCAATTACTAAATTATCTCAATACTAAAAAAATTCAACTACACAGGTCGAATAAATAATCATAACATTTAAAACGAAATGTAATTTCAAAAACGAGTTTTTAAGATTCATAAAAATGGAATTCCAAAATAAAAATCATACGAGCATCCAAAATAATGTTCCAAATACGATAATAGGAAAATAGGAATCTCACTATCCCTGACGCTTGCTAGGCTTAGGATCTACCTCATGCTCCTTTTTCTCTTTTTTGTGTTCCTGGATATGGTCGAGGATTTCATCTACCTGTCACTGCTGAGTCAGAAGAAGCGTCTCTATGCTCCTCAAGCGAGAGTCCACAAAATCCTGAAATGCAAATTTAGCCTGAGAGAGCTCGCGAAGAGACATGGGAATTGAATGCAGACGTTTCGGACGTGCCTCCTTGTCTTCATTATTGTATGCAATCTGGGTCAAATATCCTTCCGGGTGTCGGAACATGCATACAGACTCGGGAAGAACATCAGGGACAACCATGAGTAATCCTTGGGCCAGAACTGTAACCATTGGCCCACACAATACAAATTGGCAATCACAGGTAGACTGAGCATACAAGAATCGAGCCACAAAGGTTGCCACATTAACTGGTACGCATGCCTCTGAACTCTAGAAAAATAGCATATCAAATTCAAACACCACGTTGGGGCCGTCAGAACGACCGAAATAGCTATGAGCCAAGGCATGGTGCAAAATTCTCCAAGACGGACGCGCCCAATTCCTAGCTTGGCTTGCTCCACTGTGAAATCGTCCATGGTCGTGAGCCTTCCAGAACATCTTAACATTGAATTCTGGATTCAATTGATCGGGCAGGTTGGCAAAGGCTAAGCTTCGAGTTTCGTCAAACGTGTATAGTCCGAATAACCATCTTTCTCTCTCTACTTCTGCAATGGCGAAGAAGAAAGGAAGGGCTAAAGGATATCAGGATCCGAACCCGCAGTCACGCTCGCCAAGCAAACAAAGGGATGAAGAACACTCGATTGAAGGGAATGTTGGAAACGGTGCATCATCTGGAAGTAATTCACCTGAGGAAAATCTAGATCTGAGCACGACCAGTACAGAGAAATTGGAAGCAGAGAATCAAGAGGAGAATAAGATTACTGATGCCAAAACGTACGCGGAGGTGGTAGGTGATCAGGATGCGATGCAGATTGGTCTAACGTTCGTTCAAGAAACAGAGATCAATGGAACTAGGGTTGCAAAATTCTCAAAAGAGGACATTCTCGAACCATCCAGGTATTGGGATGCAGCTATGATTCTCTGTATACTTGGAGCTAATCCCCCCTTGGAAGTAGTCAATGGCTTTGTATCTAGAATATGGAATATGTATCATATTGATGAGGTATCGGTGCTTAAGGAAGGACAATTCATAGTTATGTTTCAGAAGGAAGAGGATAGAGATGAAGTTATAAAAAGGAAATACTATTATTTTGATAACAAGCCAGCCCTGGTTCAAAAATGGAGGCCAGGGAAGCATGTTGATGTTACTGAGCTTAGGGACATACCTATTTGGGTGAAATTTCCTGATCTGGATATGCGCTACTGGAGTCTTACAGGGTTAAGAAAATTGGGGAGTTTGATTGGGAAGCCAGTAAGGAGAGATAAGGCTACCGCTGAACGTTCAAAACATGCTTATGCCAGGATACTTGTTGAAGTGGGAGTGTATCAGGAATTTCCACAACAGATCACATATGTTACTAAAGAGGAGAGAGTGTTGACACAGGATGTAGTGTATGAATGGTGTCCTTGTATGTGCTACCACTGCAAGAAAATAAGACATCTTCAGGAGAATTGTAGATGGAAGGAAAACAAGAAGAAGGAAGCTGGCCCAATGAAACAATACTGGAGAGTTAAAAAGGATGGGAAAGAACATCAACAAGAGGATATTCCAAAGAAAGATGACTGTGAACAAAGCAATGGAGAGCTGGAGGAAAAGGAGAAGAATATCCAAAATGACAATTTACCGAAAGATATTCCCCCAGGAAATATGGATGAGGGCTTTACAGAAGTATGTGGAAAAAAGGCTGCTAGAAAATTGGTGTTAGATGATAGCAAAGACTATGATGAAAAAGGATTGCATAAGGTCTTCAGTGAAGGCCCTTATAAAGGGCACCTGCCCTCTCTTAAATGATTTGTTGCTGGAATGTGAGAGGGCTGAGTAGTCCAAATAAACAAGGAAAGGTTATGAGGTGTGTTAAGAAATATAATGTATTTTTGTTTGGTATGCTTGAAACTAAAATTAGAGAAAATAAGTTTAAAGAAGTTGAACATAGACTGTTCAAGACCTGGGGTTCTTTTATTAATAATAATACTCACCACTTGGGGAGAATTTGGGTTGTTTGGAATAAAGGAAATGTGGATGTACAGGTTATGGGAGTAACTGATCAGATGGTAAGCTGTAGATGCAGAATCTTAGGGGATACTAAGCAATTCTTAATAAGCTTTGTTTATGGGCACAATGATCCTACAAAAAAGAGGGATCTATGGAGTGATATCAGTAGTTTGGCTGGCCAGATTCATATTCCATGGTGTTTGATAGGAGACTTTAATAGCATCCTCAGCTGTGAGGATAGATGTGGTGGCAACCCAGTCAAGGTTTGGAAGAATTACCTAGCGAAGGAGCAAGGTATACTTGGTCCAATAAACAGGGGCAAGGAAAGAGGATTTTCTCTAAACTGGACAGGGCCCTAACCAATGTTGAGTGGGTCCTACAGTTTAACTCCAAGGTGATAATAAAGGAGAAGGTACTGTCTGACCATTCACCTCTCTTTATCAATAACTGGAAGCAAGAAAAGAGGCACACCTTCAGATTCTGTGACATGTGGACTATCAGTCCTAATTTCCCCAAAATTGTTAGTGAAGTGTGGGATAAGGAGAGGCAAGGCAGACCCATGTATATACTACTACAGAAACTTAAGGAACTTAAATGGAGACTTAAGAAGATGAATAAGGACAGGTTCAATGATATACATAATAGACCTGAGAGACTCAGGGGTGAGCTCTACAATATTCAAGAGGCAATTAAGAAAGATCATGATAGGGAGGAGCTGTTTGATAAGGAAAAAGAGCTGATCAAGGAACTTAATTGGAGCTTGAGGGCTGGATACTTGATGAAATGCCAACAAGAAAAACAGAACTGGATTTTAGAGGGGGATCAGAACTCTAGAATGTTCTTTGCCTGGGTAAGGAAAAGGCAAAACCAAAATGCCATCACAACCATTAAAAATCTGGAAGGAAAGACTGTGGAAGGAAAATAGGCAGTAGCAGAAGCCATCCTACAATATTATCAGGGTTTGTTGGGATCTACACAATGGACAGATAACATCCAGGGAAAGGTGCTTAGTGTTGAACAACAACTAGAGCTAGCTGCCCCAATTAACCTAGTCTTGGTGAAGCAGTGTATGTTTGAAATACCCAACTGCAAAAGTCCTGGTCTTGATGGATTTAGTAGTGGGTTCTTCAAACACCAATGGGATGTAGTAGGAGAAGATGTTACCCAGGCAGTTCTAGATTTCTTTCAAACAGGGTAAACCCTTAAGGAAATCAACAACACAAACATTACAGTCATTCCCAAAACTGAAAGCCCTAGCACTCCTATGGACTACAGACCCATTTCTTGCTGCAATGTGGTTTACAAGATCATATCTAAAATCATATGCAGTAGACTTAGGAAGGTTGTGCCTACTATCATAGATACCAACCAGGGTGCTTTCATAGAAGGAAGAGACCTAGTACACAATGTCCTTATGTGTCAGGAATTGGCAAGAGGATATAAAAGGAAGGGGATATCACCCAAGTGCATGATGAAGCTGGACATTAAAAAGGCATATGATTCTTTAAGTTGGAAAGCAGTTCTGCAGATTATGGCAACTTTGAAATTCCCTCCCATATTCATAAAGTGGATCAATTTCTGTATTACCAGCACAGCTTATTCCATACAGTTGAATGGTGATCTATATGGTTTCTTCAAGGGAGGAAAAGGCCTAAGGTAAGGGGATCCTGTATCTCCACTTTTGTTTGTGATAATCATGGATTATCTTACTAGGGTTCTGCATTACTTTATGACAATAGCTCCTTCACCTACCACCCCATATGTAAAAGCTATAAACTTGTTAATTTGGTTTTTGCTGATGACTTAATTGTTGTGAGTAAAGAAGATGAAAAATCAGTGGACTGTATATTCAAAGCTCTGAAACATTTCTCTCTAACAACTGGTTTGCACATCAACCAAGCCATGTCACAGATAGTAACTGGAGGAGTAAGGAAGGAAATTGAAACGAGGATATTGGAGCTCACTAATATCCCTAAGGGTGACTTTCCTTTCAGATACCTAGGTGGGCCCATAACAGCAGCCAGAATTGGACAGAGAGAGTGTGATGTGTTGGTGGAAAAGATCACTTGTCATGGGCTACTAAACATTTATCTTATACAGGTAGAGCTAGATTGATCAATTCTGTTCTGTGTGGGGTTATCTTCTTCTGGACTAGAATCTTTATCATTCCCAATAAGGTGATGAAGAGGATCCAAGACATATGTAGGAACTTCTTATGGAGTGCAACTGCTTCATATAAAAGAAGTCCTTTGATTAATTGGGAAGAGACTTGCCTGCCCAAAAACAAAGGCGGGATTGGATTGAAGAATCTGGTTAACTGGAATAAGGCCAATGTGATGAAGCTGTTATGGGATGTAGCTAATAGGAAAGATATCTTGTGGGTCAGATGGGTCCATGGAAAATATTTGAAGCAAGAGACAGTGTGGCAGTACAACCCTAAAGGGGATGTTTGTTATTATTGGAGGAAAATGCTTAAAGTTAGAAATGACTTCACCAACATGTCTATGAATGGAGAGTACAACACTAGAGAGGGATATTCTTGGCTAATGGGAAACAAAGAGAGTGTAAAATGGGCTGATCTAGTTTGGAGCAACTGGTCTCTTCCCAAACACTAGATCATTATGTGGTTGATATGGAAGGGAAGAATACAAACTAAAGCTAGATTGAGCAAGTTTATGCAGATAGATACTACGTGATGCCTCTGTGGTAACAGTGAGGAATGTATTGACCACTTATTCTGCACTTGTGAGTTCACTATGGAGATAATGCAGAAGGTTTCTCAATGGGCTGGAACTGACCTTACTGCTGGCAATATTAATGAGATGGAAAACAAAATTGTGAGGGGAAGCAACAGGAAGGAGAGGAAGAGAAGAGCAGCCTTGGTGGCAGCGTGCTTCTATATAATTTGGAAGGCCAGGAACAACATAGTCCATGGAAAGAAGAGATGGAATGCAGTAGATAGTGTTGAATATGTTAAATATCATGTTACTACTTATGTGAAGCCTAAGTATAAATTCTAAGATTAGGGGGCTGGCAGTGTTTAGAGGGTTGAGATCAGTATGTGTAATATTTGGTGGTTGATTAATATATGTGCTGTTTGTTCAAAAAGACAAAAAAAAAATAACCATCTCAAGTCTCCCACAGTGAGGTTATGTTAAACAATCGACCCATCAGCGTGAATGTTATTTTAGTAACTGAGGTGACTTCGGCTGCTGACTTTGCCTCCACCCCATCATTGAGGAAGTGGAGGGAGCACAGAAACTCAATGGTGAGCTCCAAGCTGGCTGTTGCATGCAGGAACAACAAGATTCTCCATTTGGGGTCATACAGGAAGTCATCAATCTCATGACAGTAGCCCAGCTCGTCCAGGTAAGCAGGGTCAAACACCATATGAGGCTAGAGCATCTTTGTGTTTCCCCAGGTGAGAAACTTCTTCTTCGCTTGCTCCGAGTGCAAGGGGAGCTCTTCCATGTTCTGCAACGTGCGGTGGTTTCCATGCGGGATCATCCAAGCAACATCCATCTGTAAAGCAGAAAAATAAAACAAGTAAAATCTTGCCCCCAATTATATTGGTGCGGCAAGTAAAACTTAACAATAAATTTATTAATTAACGGGTTGCCTCCTATTAAGTGCTACTTTAATGTCTATAGCTTGAAGCTTAGCCACTTTTTTCGTGATTTATCGATCTGAGAGTCATAAAGTTTAGCCCAATTGACTCTCTTCTAATGCCACCTCTTTTGATATTTTAATCGATCAAGGTCCAGGATCCTTGACTTCTTCTTGTGGCTTGGTGGCAACAAGTTATAGGGAGGAGACCTTGTATTGATCGGTGGTGGTGGAAATCTCCTCGTTTGGTTAACATCATTAGCCTTGATTGCAAGATTGATTTCTTCTTTGTCTTTAGTGGGCTGACTATCCATTTGAGGTTTGACAATTATGACAGTGCTTACCTTTATGAAAGAGTATTCGTCATCACGCAATAGAAGTTTGTCCCAACGTTTTAGGCTCCAATCATCCTTCGGGATGATGTAGTCACACCCGTCGAGTAAGGAGTCAAAGAAGGTATGGTCCGAATCTTCTACTGAGTCATTATTTGCACAGGGTTCTATAGACAAATTTGGATTTTCCATGCACATTAATTCTTTGTCTAGAGAATCCTCCGTGGACTCTTCAACAGAGGTAAGTAGATGGTTATTTATTGCTTTAGGAAAAACTCTAGTATCTCCTTGAGGGGGCATAGGTGGTTCAGGTTCCTTGGTTGGTTTTTCTTTATGTATGACTACGCTGGTTTGGACTTGCCTAGGAAGGGATTCATGGAGCAAATGACCGGTATATGTATATAAAAAAATTGGCTTCCTGACAGTGTAAATTAGAGAAAAGTTTCCTTGCAGTGCCATACGGAGTTAGCAACTCCGTCTCTATTTGGAATTAATTATCAAAACGGAGTACCTAACTCCGTTTCACCTAAATATTAACCAACTCCGCCTTTCCTTACAAATCTAATAAGCCCATCCATTATCTATACCAAAACTTTTTTAAGCAAGTGAGTCATCTTTTTGAATTAAAACTAAAAAGTGGGAGATAAGCAAGCCATGTGGCATAGGTAATAAACCGTTTGGATGGTTATCCATTTGTTAATGAATTTTTATACTCCATCCGTCTCTAAATATATCTCGCATTTCTATTACCGAGATAAAATATCTTTTTTTTTAAATTCATTTTATTTACATATCAAAAAACTACATGAAAAGTTCTTCAAAATAATACTCCCTCTATCCCCCTAATATGTTCTCATTTTGACTTTTTGTGGTTTTTAAGGAGAGTTGAAAAAGGTGAAAATTTATCATAATACCCTTAATGAAAATGGGTGGAGTGTATTAAATGAGGTGAGTGAGGTGTAATAAATAAAGTAAGTGGAGATAGTTGTGGTATTTTAATTGTTAAAAAATGAAATGAGAAGATTGTGGACAAAGAAAAAGGGTTATTGGAAAGATCTATGGGGGACAGAGGGAGTAGGTGTTAAGAATATTTTATTTTGTCAAATAACCAATGAAAATGTAGAAATAATCAAAAGTTATTGCGACATTGAAAAAGTAAATGTCAGATATATTTAGGGACGGAGGGAGTACTCGGTAATACTCCATAAATTGGTACGGCAAAATTATATAATGGATGTCACTCTCAAAACAACATTTACAATCCTTTTACTTTTAAAACTATTTTAATGACAATTTAATATAAAAAGAAAAAATGTTAAATATATTTTTGGTCTTTGTGAAATGGGAACTTTTATAATATCACCGTGGATCATTTGATTCCGAATATTTTTTTCAATTCAGTCTTACATCAATGCTTACTATGGCATCATATGTTTATGCTGTGTTATATTGAAATATTTGGTCTATGTCGGTTCACGACCTCTCCCAATCAATAATGTCTAAGTTTATGTTTTATGCATTTCACAAAATAAATTAGTTATGGCATGTGTTTTGTAACCTTATTTTTATGAATGAATTATATGTACTCGATCAATAAATTTGTTGTGATTTACTTCTTATTTTTAATTTTGGTGTATGGTGCATTATTTAAAGTCAATATATAATTATTTTATTTATGAATTTTATTATTAGTAGATTGTTTGTTTCATTATATGTAATTAAATTGCTGCTTTTTATAATATTTTTTTGTTTTTTCAATTATGAGAAATAAAGAAAAAAATTGATTTTAAAAAAATTGAGGAACAAAGTTGAAAAAATAAGAAAAAAATTGATTTAAAAAAGTGAGGGGCGGAGTTTAAAAAAATGACCCTAATGGAGTTTTTAAAAAAATTGACGAACAAAGTTGAAAAATTAAGAAAAAGAGGGACGGAGTTTTAAAAAAAATTACCCTAATGGAGTTTTTAAAAAAATTGAGGAACGAAGTTGAAAAATTAAGAAAAAAAATTGATTTAAAAAAAAGGGACGGAGTTTTAAAAAAATTGACCCTAATCGAGTTTAAAAAAACAATTGAGGAACAAAGTTGAAAAATTAAGAAAAAAAATGAGGAACGGAGTTGGCTACTCTGTTTCATTAAATATTAAATGGTAAACGAAGTAAGTTACTCTGGTTTGCTTTTTATGGGAAAGTGTATATTTTATCTACATATAAAGGAATCTAAAGCAGCAACTCTACACACGCAGGGAAATGAGGTACCATCACTATAGTATCCCTAGCGAGAGTTGTTATGCTCTCGAGTTTTTGTGATGGTGTTGAACTAGGTGAATCTTCTAGAACAAGAACCTGATAGTTGAATGGTTCAGGGATGGTCTTAGGTTCTAGAGCCTCTTTTTGAGCATTAATCTCCCTCATTTGATCTTGAGATTGGAGGAAGCGTTAAGGTCAACAGCCTTGCAGAGATCATTGACTATTTTATCAGCTTTTGCCTCGGCTTTTAGTCTCTCTCTTTGGAAGTCGTCCAGCATTTTCTGCATCATTTCTGATCCTTTGCATAATGTCCTTTCGAACCCCTTTTCCTTCGAGAGTGATTCAAGAAGTTTTGCTCTTTCTTGAATTGCCACCTTGTTTGCTTCAATTTGTTTTTCAGCAAACAGGGTGTAGTCACGGGAGTAGGGTGGTTCTTACCAGGAGCCTTCAGCGAATAAAATTTCGTCGAGATAGAAAATTTTTTGTTCTAATTCTATGATTTCTTTGGCGAGTGGATCAGATTGATCGTCGTATATAGGCCCAGATTGGTCATAATCATCTTGATCATCATGAGGTTCATAATAATAATCCCCATCAATGTCTTGGTATGGATTGGAGAATATCCAAAGTTCCTAGATGGGGTATTATATGGTGGTTCCTCATGGTAGACATAGTAGTCAGACCCATTGTTGACTTGGTAGTCATCATATATATATATATATATATATATATATATATATATATATATATATATATATATATATATATATATATATATATATATATCTATATATATATCAATGGCTTCTCTCTCCAAAACTCCGGTGACCGGAAAACCACCGGAAACCAATAATAGATTTTTCTCTGAGGTTGTTTCATCCAGCTACACGGGCAAACGTCTAGAAGGAAGATCAACAGGACGTTTCAAAGGAATTCCCTCGGTCTCATTCACCCAAGATGACATATCGGAGCTTGCATCCAGGTTCAAACTGGCACTTGTGGGCAAATTTCAGAAACGGCCTTCTTTTTCCTCTATGAACACATTTTTTCAAAGACTTGGTCTAAAGGGTAGAGTGGACATATCTGTTCTTCCTCATCAACGCTTTCTTCTAAATTTTAGTTCAGAGGAAGACTACCTGCGCCTCTTCCTTAGAAGGACTTGGTAGGTTTTTGGTTTCTTCATGACCCTCACCAAATGGAGCCCCTCTCTGTTGCAAGAATCTGAAAATCCGGTGATGCCTATCTGGATAGCTTTCCCTGACCTCCCCATTCATCTTCATGATAGGAGAGCTCTCCATCTTATCGCATCTACCATTGGTACCCCCTTACAGGTCGACTCTTGTACTTTAAATTTCTCCAGGCCGGCTTTGGCTAGATGCTGTGTGGAAGTTGATATTTCCAACCTCCCTCCTCCAAAGGTCTTGATTAATCATGCTGGTGAGGAACTTATTTTTTCCTTCATCTATGAGAATGTTCCCTCCTACTGCAAGGAATGCAGGAGAACAGGTCACCAGAGGGAAGCGTGCATGGCAAAAAACTCTGATCGGAAAAGGGATGAACCACCGGAGAAAGAGGCCCTGGTTTCACAGGAACACAAACACACTAGAAAATGGCAAGTAGTAACATCCAAAAAAGGTAAGGCCAAGGTGACTGACAATCTTGAGTGGCGGGCCAAGAAAACTGATTTTTCTGAACACCCCAAGAAAACTAATGCAACTTGGGTAGAAGGTCCAGGTGAATCCTCGAAAAACCCTATAGAGATACCTGTTTCACCCACCCCACCACTTGTTGAGAAGGTTGGGAAAAATTGGACCTACTGGATTACGGACCCTTCTATCCTATCAACTCTCACTTTACGTCATGTGTATGAAAATGTGCTTAGGGCCCCCATCATCAGTGATTCCCAGCAACTTGTGGACAACTCTCTAGCTATTGTCCCGTTCCAGGAGAATCAGTTCCTCTCTCTCCCTGAAGATGAACCACCGGAAGTTGGGTTCTTCACTGAAGCAAAAGAAATTGATAAAAATATTCAACACCTGGATTACCTACTTGCTATAGAGGAGTTCCCTCCTTTGCCACCCTATTCAGTTGGCAAGGAAACCCTAAGCAAGTCCAAAGCTCCCAGTTCCAAAACAAAAGAAAGAAACCATGCCATGATCACCAGACACATGGCCTCAAGTAACTCTTCTCCCCCTCTTTTTTCCCCATGATTGGACTCTTTTGGAATTTGAGAGGTGTACATATTTCTCTTCCCCGTCTCCGCTCTCTCCTAAAAAAATCCAACTTTCATTTTCTTGCTCTTTTGGAACCCCTGGTTGAACCAAATAAATAGGAGTGGTACAGAATGAAACTTGGACTCTTGAAGGGTTTTCATGCTTTAAACAACAAACTTTGGTTTTTCTGGAATGACAGTGCCCCCTCACTTCAGGCCATCATTGAGGAAGAGCAGGTTCTAACATGCTGTTTTAAGGACCTTGAGTCCTCAACCACTATTTGGATCTCCAGTGTATATGGAAAGCATTGTAGACTAGATAGAGAAAGACTTTGGATCTCTTTAAGAAACCTCTTTCCTGTCCAAGGCCCATGGATCATTGGGGGAGATTTCAATACAGTATCTTCTATTACTGAACACAAAGGGGCAGTTTGTCCAGACCTTGGAAGTATGGCAGATTTTAATAGCACCATCTCTGATTGTGAGCTCATTTCCCCCACCTTTTTGGGCAGCCAATTCACCTGGTTTGGAAAAAGGGGTAAATGAAGAGTTTGTAGAAGACTTGACAGAATCCTGATAAATGAAGATTGTATGAATCTATTCCAGGTCATTGAGGTGAAACACCTTGGAAGAGGGAACTCTGATCACAGGCCTTTGCTTCTCAAACTCCTCCTTAACCAAATCTCAGGCCCAAAACCTTTTAAATTTCTCAATATTTGGAGTTCCCATAAATCATACAATGATTTGATAATTTCCTCTTGGGATAAAAACTATCAGGGTGGGGGTATGAGAGGCCTTGCTATGAAACTCTCTAACCTCAAAAACACACTCATCAAATGGAATAAGGAAACTTTTGGAAATATTTTTGAGGAAGTGTCTAAGGAACAAGATAGGTCAGAAAAGGCAGAAGCCATCCTTGAAATGGATGAATCTGAAAAAAACCTCATGGAGTTCAAGCTAGCTACACCCCTTCTGCAGCAAGCTTTGAAAAAAGAGGAATGCTTTTGGGCCCAAAAGACTAACATCAAATGGATCTCCCAAGGGGATGCTTCTACTTCTTTTTTCCACTCCTATGTAAGGGGAAGAAGGCACAGACTACATATCTCCTCTTTAAAGGATGGGAGAAGAAACATCCATACCACTTTTGATGAGATAGCAAGGATAACAGTGGAGCACTACACAGAGGTTTTCTCCTCAATACATGAAGGGGATATGGGAGAAATCCTAAATCTTATTCCTTCTTGTGTATCTGAACAAGACAACACTTTGCTCAGTAGCATCCCAGCTGAGGAAGAAATTAAAAGAACCATTTGGTCTTTAAATGCCAATAGCACAGCAGGATCTGATGGGTTTAATGGCTTCTTTTTCAGGAACTCTTGGGACACTATCAAAACTGATGTGTGCATGGCAGCTCAAGAATTCTTCATTGGTGTCCCTATGCCTAAAGCCTTTGGCAGCACACTCATAACCCTCATCCCTAAAAATGAAGCAGCCATCACCCTGGACCAGTTCAGGCCCATCTCCCTATCAACTTTTTTCAGTAAGATTATTTCCAGGATTCTGAGTGACAGACTTAAATTGATCCTTCCCAAGATTATCTCCCAGGAACAGGCTGCTTTTCAAGTTGGGATGAACATTACTGATCATGTCCTCATGACAAAAGAGATGGTTCACTTACTCTCTTCAAATGCAAGAGGAGGGAACTGCATTATCAAGTTGGACCTCTCTAAAGCTTTTGATAAACTCTCATGGAATTACTTGGAGGGAACCCTTTCCAAATTTGGTTTCTCTCAGCATACCATACACCTGCTCATGGGAAATCTGAAGGCAACACATTTCTCAGTGCTTATAAATGGTCAACCAAAGGGTTTTTTCCCCATGAAATGTGGAGTAAAGCAAGGTGATCCCCTCTCCCCCCTACTTTTCATTATAGCCTTGGAAGGGCTATCTAGATCCATCAATTATCATCATTCACTCAGGATGCTCTCACACTTCTCTGCTGGAAGAACACCCACCCCAATCCACCTTCTCTACGCAGATGACATCATTCTTTTCACCAAAGCTGAATGCAGAAATCTCCTCAGGCTAAAGAAGATACTGGCAAGTTTTATGCAGGCCTCAGGTCAGGAGATCAACTATAACAAGAATCAAGTTATTGTCCATGAAAAAATGAAGCCAGCACACCAATACAAGATCAAAAAAATCCTTTCTATCAAATGTAGTACCAAAGCGTTTAACTACCTTGGATTTACCATTGTAAAAGGAAAGCTTAAGAAGATACACTGCAAGGACTTGGTTGAAAAGTTTGAGAAGAGGATAAATGCTTGGTATAGTAAGAAGCTAAACCAAATGGGGAGGCTTATTCTTATCAAGCACGTGCTATCCTCAATCCCTTTACACCTTATGGCTGCCCAAAGAATACCCAAGTCCATAACAAAAATTCTTAAAAGGCAAATGGAAAATTTCTTCTAGGGGGAAAAGGAAGAGGGACCCAAATACCACTGGAGGAGATGGGACAAGATGTGTTTCCCCTTTGAGGAAGGAGGACTGGGGATAAGAAATTTAACACTAAGCCAGGATGCAGCTTTCATTGACCTATGGTGGAACAGATCCAGGGGAATACTATTTGGAGCAAATACATGAGACATAAATACCTCAGAGATGGTCTTTTCTCTCCAAAGCCTTATGACTCCTACACTTGGAAATCCATATGTAAAACCACTCCACTAATTCTTCCCCATTGTAGGCTTTCCACAGATGGTGCTGAATGGAACTTTGGGACTTACACTTTCAGGAAGGCATACTCACTTACCTATGATCATCAGCCAAA